AATCAGCTGTTTTTACGAGATCGATGGTGAAATTCGAAAGTGGGTATACAGTGGAGACTGTATTAGACGGAAGCAAACTCGGAATCGAACCTTATTCTCTCGAGGTCTTGCCCAATGGCGAACTGCTTATCCTTGATTCTGAGAATAGTAACATTTACAAGATTTCATCCTCTCTTTCTCTATGTAAGTGTCACTACTTGCAATTTCCCAACTTGGGTTTGTGTGTAGTATGGTACTATTGATTTCGCGTCACACGATCGTGGGTTTCAATATCTGCTGATCCTCTTAAGGATTTTCCATACGGATGATGAAATCAAGTTTTGTTTCTCCCTCTGCCTTCACGTGGAAAGGAAACTGTATGTGCTTACCTAATCGTAGCGCACTGTGCACATGGACTGTACAAATTGCTGTATATGGCAATGCAGAGACTTTCGGTGAAAATATCTGGAGATTTTCTGGGATTCAAAGTAGAATACAATCAATGTTTTAATTGCAGCATCAACATTTAAAATTTTGAATGTGGACTGTATATTTAGCACAGTCTGATTTGATTAGGGGGATATGATTTGTTCATAGAAACCAAGTAGTAGATGAATTCTTGAACAGAATATTGTAACTCTTGGAACATTGGCAGATAGCAGACCGAGGCTGGTTACTGGCTCTCCTGAAGGATATCCGGGTCATGTGGACGGTAGATTAAGAGACGCGATGCTGAACAATCCTAAGGGACTTACCGTGGATGATAGAGGAAATATCTATGTTGCAGATACAGTGAATAATGCTATCAGGAAAATCACTGAAGGAGGTAATTTGGACAAAAAATGTTGTTTGTTTATCTATGAGGTAAGAGAATCAGATTAAGAAAGAAACAAATGTAATGGCAGGAGTCACAACCATTGCTGGGGGGAAAATGGTTCGTGGGGGAGGTCATGTGGATGGTCCGAGTGAAGATGCAAAGTTTTCAAATGATTTTGATGTGGTTTATGTCGGAAGCAGTTGTTCCTTGCTAATCATTGACCGAGGAAATCGAGCGATTAGAGAGATTCAACTCCATTTCGACGACTGTGCTTATCAGTATGGAAGTGGCTTTCCTCTTGGTAAAAGTTTACATACCAAAATCCTTGGTTTGTTGTCTCTTTCATTCTTCAAGCATCTCAATTCTGAATTCAATGCTTGTAAGTATTGTAGGGATTGCAGTTCTTATAGCGGCAGGTTTCTTTGGTTACATGCTGGCTCTATTGCAGCGTAGGCTCGGTTCTATTGTTTCAAATCACACCGTGAGTGTTCCAATCGCTTCGTCACATCTCAGTAATTAGCATTTTCCGCTTCTGCTATTGTATAATGGCTATTAACAACATTTCTCCCTGTTGTGTTTTTATATAGGATCAAGAAATTTATGAAGCCGTTCCTGATCAAAAGTCTACGAAACCAGTCAGACCGCCTCTGATTCCAAGTGGAAATGAGCAAGAGAAACAAGAAGAAAGCTTACTCGTGCCACTAAGGATATTCATTTCGAATGCTTGGTTGTTTTTAGTGGAGCTGTTCAGTGGAATGTTTCCTGGTCTAAAAAAGAAGCAGACAGTCAGCTTCAACTTCAATCATCCAGAAATAAAGCAGTTTGCTTTTAGTACAACTCCATGGCCAATTCAAGAGAGCTTTGTAATACACGACAAAGATGAACCACCTCCCATTGAGACCAGGAATCCCACTCCCAGGAAAACTTACCCTTTCATGTCCAAAGACGCAGAGAAAATACAACAGCTGCGCCAGAGCCGAGCCTTGTACAGAAGCTTGGACGCCGAATTCCTCCAGGAAG